TGAAGAAAAAGTAGAGGGTTATGATGTGTACTTTATTGCTGTTAAACGAACAAATCGAATATCAGCTAATCGATCACTCAATTCTGTTCGAGAAACCAACTGATTCCTGAAAATAAAGGGGATATAAGAAACTTAAGGGGGTGACTGTGTGTATATAACTTTATATATACATAATACATGTTCTGTGTTTCAAATTATAAATGAAGTCACCTACTGGATTCTCAAACCAGAAAACTTTTCAACATCAACATCATTTGACTTCTTTACATGGCTAGATTTGAGTGGCTTCTTGGAGGGTTCAGGCTCATAATCTAGACAATCCTCAACAGCGGTTCTGAAAACAGACATGTCTGCATGTCCCCTCTGTCTTGCAGATCCATCGTCGGATAGATATCCTGTATTCATATAGATATTGAGGGAGATCCATGTAAGAAAAGTTATAGTGCAGTTATAAAGAGATTGTGAGGAAACACTTCAATATTCTAAAACGTTAAGCAGTCCGATAAAAGTTGAAGTAATTGCATTGCCCTAATTGGATATGGGGATGGTGAAACAATAGATTATGTGCGATTAAAAGTTCAGTGACCTAAATCGAATAACCAAACACGCAGATTAAGGATTACGAGATAGGTATCCTCATCCGAAATTGATCAAATCTATTAACAAGCTAGATTAATTTTTTTTGTAAATCGAACAACCGACAAAACGAAAACTGAATCTGTAACAGATAGCAGTATGCGGTGTGCTTTTGCTCCGAACGAAGTGAGACGAAACGCATACGGATTGTACGAATTAACACGATAATTAAGAAAAATAATAATAATAAACTGGAGTTCAATAACAAAATATACATATATTACCAGGTGAATGGGGCGAAGGAGAAGAAGGAGGGGTTTCTAGCACCCTATCTTGAAGGGAAAGAAGAAGATCGAGATCATCACCGTGTGTTGACATGATGGATTCAATGGCTTGTCTGATTCTGGTAGCAGTATGCTGTTTGCATCGATTCAGATAGATATGTCCTTACGTAATTTTTGCTGGGTTTTGGGGGGAATTTTCAAGTTTTCTTTCAGTGGGAAAAACTTTTCCCCCCAATTCGTGTTTAGAACATGTAAATATTGGGGTTTTGCTTTGAAAGAAAAAAAAAAAAAAAAAAAATATATATATATATATATATATATATATATATATATATATATATATATATATATATATTACTATATTTGTTTTTTTTATGGTTTTAAAATTTTGTATTTATTAGGTAAATATTTAAAAAGTCAAATTGCAACAAAATCAATAAACAAAATCAATAAGTTAATTCAAATTTTCAATTTTGACATTGTATTTTTTTTTCTTCTCAGTTAAATCATTATATTTATAATGTTGCTGCAATATCAACAAACTAATCGTTTATAATGTTGCTGCAATATCAATAAAATTCTTCTTGTTCTCTTTATAACCATTTTTTTAATCGTTATAAAGTCATTAGGTTTACCAAAATTTTAATTTTGACATCGTGTTTTATAATTTTCAATTATGTTATTACATTTATGGTTTTATTGTAGTGTCAACCAATTGACTGGTTCCCATCGATCTAGCATGTTACCAAAAAAACGACACATTAATATTGTGATATGGAAGTCGCATCGGATCTTATGTGGTAGGATTGAGTTTCAAATATAGGTTTGCATTGAACCCAAATCCACGTATCTTCTTCTGTTCTTCTCCTCTTATTGTCAGAGTATTTCTTCACAAATGATGTCTAAAGGTCGAAGTGGTTCAAACTCACTTAAAATTCAGCAAAAATGACGTACTCACCCTTCAAGAGATGCTATTGTGGTTTATAAATTTTCAAACTCACTTCAATACCAACAAACATATAACATCACATTCCAATCATAGAAGGAATATTCCAATAAAGTTGGATTAAATAAAGAATCTAGAAAAACGGTACAATGTTATATGAACGAATAAACGAGCACTCCTCTTATGTTGTTCCCCATAAAGGGCTCATCGCAATCAGTGCCAAAATAGCGTTTGTGAAAATATGAGTTCGCACTTTAATATGTCTTATGTCTCAGATAAATGTTGAGGGAAACATAAGGATCCTCACCACGTACATGTTCAAGGTTACGTAACGTATTTTGGAAATTAAAGATGTTATGTTGGCCCAAAAGAAGTGTCTTTTTCAATGCTTAATGGAATTAGACAAATCATGCACTACAACACCATAATTACGAGTAGAGAATGTGTACTCATCACCACTGCAGATAATACAATGATAATGACGAAAACCTCTTTAAGTCTATCATGATCTCATTGGCACGATAGCTCAAAACCTATCAATTTAGACATAACATTACTATTTAATTAAGAGATATGGATACAATAATACTTGATTACACACGAACGACGTCGGAGGAAGGTGAAGCCCCGCCTCAAGTGACCTTATGTAAACTCGGTGGAGAATCGATTATGCTTGTATATGAATTTGTAAGCTCCACCCGATCGGTCAGGGTTAACACGTAGGTTTTTCAAGTTAAGACACACTCATCATGGAGAGGACGATAGCCAAAAAATCACCAACCATTAATGAATGAAGATACAAAGAAAAACAACGAGAAGATGAAAAGGATGTCATATATGTTGGGTTAATCGAATTTATGAGTGCAAGGGCATTTTAGGAAAGTTATATATTTAAGTTTTGTTTGATTATTTTAGAGTTTGATAATATTTCTATTTTACTGAGTCCATCTTTTAGATTTAGAATTTGAGTAGGATACTATCATAATTAGTATAAATAGTTGTAGTCGTTTCTTTTGTTAATGCAAATTTGGTGCTTCTATATAGTTTAACTTTGTTAGCAAGAAACTTGTTCCATTTTTTCCTATTTCATTTAGTTTTGTTTCTTCCAAACTCAATAAGGAATCTGTTTAGTTTATTACTTACGCGTGGTACCAGAGCCTAGGGCTCGTGAAGACGCAGGGCGGCCGATTTAAGAGTTGGTTTCAAGAAATTTTAGCCTTTTGTTGCGGGGCAGCTGCAACAGGAATTGGGTTCAGTTTAAGGGGGTGTGGATTGTTTTTTAGCACGAGTTGAAGCATCTCAACAACAACCCCGATTTCTCTTAATCGCGCTTAAGAATAGCTAATTGGAGGCATGGAATAAATAGATGGGAAGACATCAAAGTGGGTGACTTTGATTCGGTTTGTTTTGTGGGTGACGGAAGACGATAAAGGTGGTCGTGACCTTGTCTTGTTGTTCGATGGAAAAGTGCTCTCAGAATAAGCTTGATTAAAGAGGTCGGGATGGTGGTCAAAGGGATTACGTAGTTCTTGATCGGTTTGTTCGTGATAAAGGGATACCAACGTAGGTGCGTGAAAATCGGACATGAAGGATCCATCAAAGCAGATAGCTTTGGATTCAGTTTGTTTGGCAGATTGAAAGAAAAAGGTGAAGCAAGTGGCTTTGTTTCTTAGTCAGTGGAGATGCCTCTTTGAAGAACGGTAATCGAAACAAAGGAAGGGATTGGAGAAACAACATGGTGTGGACATTATGGCAGTGGAAGTTCAAATCGGATGGCTTTAGATCTGGCTGGGGAGAGGTCGTGAATTTGGCAAAAATCTAGATGGTAATAAACGTATCCAACGGGATGTCATGGTATATGTTACATATGTTGCGAACAATCAAAAGGATACGAATGACTTTGGACGTGACCGAGATGGAGGTTAGGTGTCCGAAAAAAGTCGTGATGGTTTGGAAAAACAATGATTCAACACTGTTGTGAACGAGATGTGTGACCAATCCGATTAAGGGGTAACTGTTGAGTTAATCGGATTTATGAGTGCAGGGGCGTTTTAGGAAAGTTATACATTTAAGTTTTGTTTGATTGCTTTAGAGTTTGATAAGGTTTCTATTTTATTGAGTTCTATCTTTTAGATTTAGAGTTAAAAGTAGGATACTATCATAATTAGTATAAATAGTTGTAGTCATTTGTTTTGTTAATGCAATTTTGGTGCTTCTATTTAGTTTAACTTTATTAGCAAGAAACTTGTTCCATTTTTTTTTTCATTTAGTTATGTTTCTTCCAAACACAACAAAGAATTTGTTTAGTTTATTAATTACAATATCCACCCACAATTGATGTGATGGGACAATGATTCAATTACCGCTCACACGGCCACTTTAAGTGTGACTGACTAAGCACATTGACGAAATGATTCCTTTAGATTACAAGGAATAGTGGCACCAATTCAAGAATTACGCATGCAATCCCATAAAATCAAGAACAAAGACAAACATCCTATTAACTAATAATGTCTGACCCGATTACCATGAGGCGTACAAATAATATTGACACAATTATTACACTACCCATGCAACACCAACAATACATGGAAAAAGTAAAGATAATACTTCATACCCTCACGACACATTGTTTTAACTTAGGCATCAAAAAACATTACCAAATCCTCACCCAAAAATACTCCTCCTGACCTCCTTTGTCTCATCTCTCACGTTTTACAAAATCCCAAGTGAAGTTCAACATAGCAACACAACCCAATATTAATATCAAGCATCCACACATTCCTATAATGATAATCTTCACTATAAGAGTCAACTCCATCAAGTCTAAAGTTGTCTTTGGCATAAGCATTTAAGTCTAACGTTGTCTTCAGCATAAGTAAACATTTTGTTGTCGACACACATTCTTGTCTACATATACTACATACACAAACATTCTATTAGCTATCACAATAACATCTCACCATTTTAACGCAAAAAATGCATTTACTCATGGTAAAGACCAAAGTAGGAGGCTTTTTCAGGCATTAACCTTTTTTTGGAAACCGGTTAACACACAAACAAATATCCTCAAAAAGAATGTTCAAAATACACCAAGTTTTCTTGTCACCTTCTTAAATAAAAACAGTTATGAAAAGCAAAATAATAAACAAAACCATCCACAGAGACCAAAAAATAAATATAAAAGTTGCATCAGGTAATCATATATAGGGAAAAAAATTCCAAGTAAATAAAGCAGAGATTAGAAAATGTATGCAAAATGAAAATGTGAGAGAACAAAGTTGTAAGCAGCAGGCAACAGAAGTTTTATGACATTCCACTATTTATTTACAAAAGCCTTGTAATATTAAAACATTAAAACATCCAGAAAATTCAAGTTCAAGTTCCTTCTTTCTCTCAGGCACCTTTCACCAATCATTTCCGCAAATTCAACTAAACAACAAACCAAATCAATAAATTATCAAAGTGTGTTTATGGTTTTTTGTTTTTTGAAAAAAATATATTTAGACACTGACCTGATCTCAAGTATTATGCTTCCATCGAAAGAAAGGTTTATTGAGTAGAGTACTAGAGTAGTAGCCCCCAATAATTATGCACCAGTTAACAAAAGAAATGATTTCAAAGATTTGATTGATTGATGATATCTTTTTATGGGATACAAAATATACACATTTCCAATCATGACAAATCAAATGATCCCTACCCTTCATTAATAGCATACACTAGTTTCTTGTACATGATCTCCTGTAACCCAAATCATTAACACAATATATCAACATTTAGATTAGACGACTGAAAGTAGAATGTTGTGATAGAATGAAACGGAAGTAGTTTTAAGAATTTGAGCAGATTTAACCTTGGTGGAATATGGAGGAAGCTTGAGGTAGTTGGCACATGTCATGACACTTGGCAAATCATCATCTACAGATTCCGACACTCCACCTGCGACATTTGATGCCGTGTTGTTGGAGCTCGAAGAGTGCTGTAATTAATAAAGGGTTAGTGACTGAGGAGGGGCAATTTGATAATTCACCTAGATATGTCGGGGGGGTGTTTTTACCTTTCTGAAAATGGTCAACTTAGGGTTCAACACAGCCAAGCCACCTGGAGGAAGCCGAGGTGCACCAGTAATAAACTGACAGAATGCCCTCTGCTGTTCTGGATTGAACTATCCCATTATCTCAAGCAACTAATAAAAACACAAACAAAAGTATTAACTATTGTTTTAATGAATTTATAATTCTTCCCTGAATATCCCAAAAAAAAAAAAGAAACTTTTACACACATTAATTACTACAGGTCTCTTGGAAGTATATCCATGGTCAAATTTAATGTGTTCCACAAGTGTATCAGCCTGCATTTAAAAGAAACATGAATTCTTTACATTATATCATTTTCATGAAATACACATGTTATGTTTAACTGCAATACAAAGTAAATAATCCAATTTACCTCCCACATTTCTCTGCGCCCACACAGTAAATAATCCAACTCACTTGGGGAGAATATTTGTAGACTTGACACATCAAAAACCTGCTGGTAATAACACAAAACATTAGCTTAAAAAAAACTATTTTCCATAAACAATTTAGCATATTAGACAAAGATTATGACCTGATTAAACCCAGCTCTAAATGCTTCCAATTGCCTTGTGATACCAGTCTTCACAGTAGCATCAACCACCAGTGAAATGCACTCCAGATTATTTAAATCAACCTGTGAATTTGGAAAACTCAAGTTTATCAACAAATTAATCGGTAGATAAACATAAACCTATAAACAATAAAGATGGAAAAAAGAACAAAGTACATTAACATCGCCTGTTTTGAGAATAAAATCAGGGTAGCCAGGAAGTGCGAAGTCCAAGCAAAGATCTTCAACTGGAGCACCCCTGAACCTTAAGTTGAGTATCTCATTTCTGTCATGTATGGACTCCAGATACTGTTTCCTGGAAACAAGAGCTTGCAATTCTTGCAATGTCTTGCCTAATTCAGCATCGAATAGTGAAATATCATGCAAATCAAGTTCTTGTAATCAAAACAAACCCCCTCATGTGTCATCAATACAAAAAAAATGAAGAAAAAGACACCAACAACTTACCTGTCCAAGCACAAGCTTATAGAAAGCAGCTGAAAGTGGCAGATCCAAAAGCCTCCCATCTTGAAGTGCTTTAGCCATGACACGACCAAGAAGCCGGAAATGTTCTATCACTTTCCCAAATTGCCCCCCATCAGAAGCATCAACAGTAAGAGCCCAAGGACGTGGGAACAACCCTAGAGGCGCCAAAATAAGGTCAACTTTCTTCTCATCAGGGTCAACATCCGGTGACGTGTCAACACTCTGAGAATTACACCTCCACATGTTCATCCCTGTTTTCTGAAGGTCATGACTCAACAGAGTGTAAAACTCCAAAGTGGGCCCAAGCCCAGTTCCAACTTCACCAAAATATTTAACTTCAAGAACCGCTTTTTGACTCGAATACATCTCCATAACTTTAGCAGCAGAATCAAGAATCTGATTCCGGGAAACTCGGACTTTTTGGCGTTGTAATCTCCCGACCCTAAATTCCCGCTCATTCATCGACCCTTGTCCATCTGCTCCTTGTTGATTTTGAAGCCGATTTAATGCACGAGATAAACCGAAAGAAGTTGAGTAGAAATACTGACGCCTGACTTCTAAAGGGAACAAAAACGGGCAGGCTTTTGTTAACTGATAACACCATGAAAGAACACTACCACTGCAAAGTGCAAGAGCATATTGAATTTGTCTAGACAGTTTTGGAGTCAATTTCCCGTTTATAAACTCATCTGATGGGACCTGGATTCCCGTAACATTTAGATCGTCAAGGCTCGAGATTTTTCCTTCCGCGAAACCATCGGTTGCTGACTGGACACGCAGACGTGGCGCCAGCTGGTTTAATCCGTCTAATACGCGTAACAAAGATAGGATATTGTAAGTCCGGTTGTTTCTTTCCAAATCACAAGGAAGCTCTCCTTGTAAAAGGGTGTCTAAAAGTGACATTTGGTGCGCCCGTGGATCATTGGAGTTTGAGGTGGAATCGGTTTTGGGGGATTTAGACGGGGTTGTGGACCCCACGGTTTGGTTATCGGCTCGTTGGTGTGTAACTGTGTAAATATCGCCCCATAATCTGCTTCCATCACTGGATTCAAAATCACTCCCGTTGTATCTCTCATCATCATCTTCATCAAGCACAAGTTGTCTTTGAATAGCTTGATAGATGGTTAAATGGCGGTTGAGTGGCTTTCCATTTGAAGAGAATACCAACCAGGGTGGATCGTTGGAGCCCAAAACGGGTCGCCCGTGGCGGTCTCGACCGCCCCGGGTGCCCCGCCCGTTTGCCGATGCAAGCCCGGCCATGGCAGCAGCAGCAAATGACATTGTACCCCTTGAACCCAAGGAATTTGAGGTTCTGAAATTGGCGGAATCAGAACCACGAATTCCGGTTCCGGTTCCTTGGCTGCTAGAATCGGAAGCGGGATTTGTCTGGGTGTCAACGGGTCTTTCTTCAGTGGATTCGGGTAATTTAACATCGTGGACTTTATCTGCCATGCAAACAGGAAGATCTTCACCTACCACCTGTAAAGTAAGAAAGAAAAAAAAATCATTCATGGTTTCTTTTTGACTAAATGGGGTTTGGATTTATAATCTGGTGAAGCATACATCATCAGGATCTTCATCTTCATCCTCAGAAATATCGTCTTCTTCAATCACCAATGCATCATCGATCTCAACTGGTGATATATCAAAGTCCTCATCCTATACCAGAACAAAATAAATTACACCACTGAAAATTCGTTTGTATTTAGAAAGAAATGGAAATGAATGCAACGATAATTGAAAAACAAATAAAAGCATACCTCAGAAGTAGATTCTTCATCTACAGATTTCATATTTGCATCTTTATCCAAAGCAGATCTTCTCCTCGCAACATTTCTAGTCTGAGGTCCTCTCCCATCATCTTGACCAAACTTCACCACAGCCTTCCCTTTCCCCTTTGAAGAACTTTAATTTTTCTCTTGTGGGGTCTCTTTTTTCCCTGAATTATTAATATTATTATTATTATTATCCCCTATACTAATTGAACCCCTAGACCTATTAGACTGCTGACGTGTCGCAAACACAGGAGTCAATGGTGACGAAGCCCCGCCAGGTGTCGTCCCAGACTCCGAGTTCCCAACATACGCCTTCTGACTAGACTCACTCCGCTGCACACGTGGCCAAAGAAAATCCTCCACAGCAGCCAAACTCGCCAACGGGTCAATCAAAACAACATTTGAAGAATAATCCCGAAGACCTTTTTCCCCATGTGCCCTAAAAGCCGAAGCTTAAATGGTTGAGACAAAGCACCAAGCCCAGACGATAGACGGGCATTTCCGAAATTTGACCTTGAACTATGACTCAACACAACTGCAAAACGTTCTAAAGAGGTCAACGCGTGTTGTAGCTTTTGAACAAGAACACTCATTGGGGCCCGCTTCGGGTCGTCTACACTTGCAGGAAGTGCAACTTCTATGAAAGATGTGTATCTTTTGATAGCCAGGTGTCTAAGTTTAGGTAAATTGGCTTCTGAGACTCTTTCTTTTGAGAAATGTCCACAAGAGAAGTAGTTTAATAAAGCGGATACAACCCCACTACCGATGAATTCAAATGTGGAGACCCCGTTGAGCTCGGATAACATCTCTGTGATCACTCCTAATAAGTTTTCTTCTTTTCCAGGTGAAAAGTCAACAAAGCGGTTTCCGGAAGCTTTTGACTTTGACTTGTGGTCATCGATTGGAGAGCCTAACTTCTTGCAGAGGTTTTTTAGATGTAAAAGATCGTCTGTGACCCCGACTTCTGTGGCTCCGGGGTCGGAAGGGAAGTACTTGTCTTTGAATGCTTTTGCAGTTGTGCTGACTGTTATACGGAGAGTGGAGTTGACTGTTGGAAGGTCAACTGTGGGGCCCGGTTCCATGTTTTGGGGATCTTCAGATGGATTTGGATCTGTAGTGGAGGTAGTAATGCGGCGTCGATAACGCCTTGAGCGTGAGGAAGATGATCCAATAATAGAATCGTTAATCTTCTCGTTTGATAATGGTGGAGAAAGAGTGTTACCAGATGATCCTGATCCTGCAAGTGTGTCGGTTGCATGAACAACACCTTCTCTTACAGACATTTTGCTGAAAGTTTCTGGAAGTTTTTCCATTAGGATCTTTGCTATTTGAAGGGAAGGTACCAAGACTTGTGGGTCCTTCCATGCCAAAACCGCAGCCAAGAAACTGAAATCTCATTTAAAAGCATAAAAATATTAGAATGTGAAGAGTGAAGACAAGGGCAAAACAGTAAATTTCACAAATTTAAGAGATGGATTGTTGAAATTGATGATCCACTAATGAAATGTGTTAATACAAGAGTGGAATAGGGACTGAAAAAAAGAAAAAGATTCCTGCTTGGACATAGAAAATGGAAATCGATATAGCATAGGGATAAATAAATGTTATCTACTCATAAATAAAAGATGCAATATACCTTGATATGTTGGTGACACCAAGTAGAGATTGAATCATATCAGCAGTGCTGAAGTACATCAATTTCCCGATAACTGATAGACACTTGTGACGCACAGGTTGGTTTACACTTGAGCCATACATCTGTAGAACAAAAGAAATGTCAATTTGTTTCTATTGGTGGTTGCAGTTGCAGATAAAGAGCTTATACTATCTCTTTTTCAACCTAACCTGAATAAGAATAGGAAGAAGGTCCATTCCAAATTGCTGCAAAAGCTCAGGCTGCTCAGTTAACAGCTTCTCCCGAGCTGAAATCTCAGGTGCACCTCCACTTGTTTCTTCTTGCTTGCTTGAACTTCCAGCAGTTGACTTCTTCAAAAGAGACCCTTTTACATATAGATTGCTGCTAGCAGGAAGAGTTATGGTCCCATTGGGTAAAGGAGGAAGAAGCTCATTCGCCAAATTCACAATCTCAAAAATTTGCATACCAAAAGAAACAAAATAATCAAAAAATAATCCTCGATAATAAAAAACATGGTATATATGGAGAGAGAGAGAGAGAGAGAGAGAGAGAAGAGAGAGAGAGAAACATTGCCTGCTCTGGTGGTCTACTCAAGGCAGGTGACACAGACATTGTTGCAACAAGACCAGAGCCTGATAAAATATCTTTGAGAATCCCACTGATTCCCATAAGGAGCAAAGTTTTGGATCCTAGAGGAGAGCCACTTGCACATGTAGATAGCAATCGAATTAAGCCCTGTGAAAATTTTCACATTAAGTAAAACAGAACCAAAGAGTAGAACCATATCGCAAACAATAGCAAATTAGTTATGGTACCGTGTATGTAGATGTACTGAGGGATGCTTGTCCACCTCCAGAACAACTGGTTGAGATGAGAGAGGCTGCTTGTTTAACCAATCCATGGGCACAAAGCTCGTCCAGCTGATCAGGAGATGATGCAAACGCCTCTGTAATTCTAGTCAAACAAACTGAAGCATGCTCCAAGACCTAAACATAGAGCACATACCCAAAAAGATCATAATGAGATAAGAAAGAAGATGGTTAACCATTACTAAGTATATAAATTCATAAGATTGTAGTTCTCGCCTTGGCATCATGGTACTGAAGAAGATTTGTCAATATGGGAACTGCTTCCGTGACAAAATCAGCTGCATCAGATGGGAGTTTTTTGCACATGTTTGCAGCAGTGGATAATGCCACACGTTGGACTCCTGTTGAGAAGAAGTCAAGATAAGAAAGCACTGCCATTAGAGCCCCTACTCGCAAGCAGGCAGTTGGGTGTTTCTTGAGATATCTTCTTAAGAGCTTGCAAGGATTGTTCAGCCAGGTCCATGTACTCGATGGTAAGCAACCTAGCAACAAAGCAAGAAACAGCACCATAGTGCACCACAGCAGCACATGAAGATGGCAGAACATCACACAGATGTGTGAGTGCCCTTGCTGCAAGCAACATAATATCGGGATTGCTCTCATGATTAAGCAACCCAACAAGCACAGGCACAAAGGAATCGACTGAGAAAGTACTGAGTGAATCCTCAGTTCCAATAGCAAGCATGTCACATAGCTGTCTTAACACCTCAACTTGCTTTCCTTCTTCCCCATCAGCACGCAAATCGGAAAGGATCTTCTTTAGACGACCGCTCTGATGTGATGAAGAGGCCGACGCCATTGCTGATGAAGGAAGCAGATCATCCAACCCTGCACCTAGCTTCCTCAACAAACCTTGAAGTGCACTGCTTGTAGAAGTCAAGTTCTGATGCAAAATCCCGACACCCCCACCCTCGCTATCGTCGTCGTCGTCATCACCTCCATCAACGCTCATATCGATATTCAGTCCATACGGGCTGTCTCTATTAATATTATCTCTATCCTTAACCCTAACTTCATGTTCTTTCTCTTTCCCATTTTACGAATTATCCCTATCCGATACCATATTCTGGTTATTAGTACTCTTCCTATTGCGACGGCCACGACCCGACCCAGACCCGGACGATTCGTTGGTGGAATTTTCCATGTCAGTAGCGCGTGAACGAGTAGAAACCGATTGAACGACAACGTTGGAAGCTGCTGCGGCTGAGGCGGAGGAGGAGGTAGTAGTAGAGAGACGAGTGCGTTTGTTGGAACGTGTGAAAGGTCCGCCGGATGATGATGAAGAATGGGCTGATGAGGTGGCCTCTGCCCTCTTCCGGCTACGAGTTTCCATACAAAACCCCAAACCCCCTTTTGTATCCAACGATCAACGACGATCGAAGAACCACTGAACCCTTATCATCGTCACTCACAAATCACACAAAATAACACCCGATGTATCAACAAAAGGACCCGAATCAACCCAAAATCTATCAAACACAAGAAGAAGTATTGAGAACTGAAATTGATAAATTAAGGATAAATGTGAGTGTTTTAATTCAATTCAAACCGATCGGCTGAAAGGGCGACCGGTGATTGCAGAAGTGTATAGAGAAAATTTTGTCGATGGAGGGAGTAAAATCAAGAGAAAGAGGATTAAAAAAACCCTAATTGTTGTTGTAGTTATTATATAGCGGCACGGTTGTGTTTGTGTGCGTAGTGCGTTAAAGATGCAAGAAAAATTATCATACGGTGTCGTTTCCTCTTTTCTCGTATAAGTATTTATGTACCTAAAAGTAAAAACATAAGGATCGTCCGTATATTACAACAACCCACCACATAATATTAGGTTTTGTTGTGCGGTTTGCGGTTTTATAATTTTACCAAACTGCGGCTTGCATTTTTAATTATGAAAACGTAGTTCAACCCGCACCATATTATATATATATATATATATATATATATATATATATATATATATATATATATATATGTATATAAAGTGTTCGCGGGCAAATATTTACTCTTTCAATTTCTATTTTAGTTATATTATTAGCTCATAACTTTTCCGAATAGATGAATTGGTTTCTGGTCGATTCCGCCATCCCGATCCATGAATCGTTCGAATTCATTTTCACTGGAATCTTTTGAATTCACAGGTTCCATCGTTCCCATCGCTTCTTACTTAATGGTTATATCTAAATTCTACAATGGAGCTATTAGTTCTTGAGTCAATATTCTTAGCCTTTATTGGCTCGAAGCTCTATTTTTTGTTCGATGAGCAGATCCATTTAATTTGAAAATACAAATAATTTGTGAAAATACGAGAACCAATCAGGAGGGGACACTTGTAATTAAGACATCACCTACTTTTTATTTTTCTTATTCTTTTTAACCATAATAGTGGAAACTACCCATTACCCTTTGTCTTCCTTCTCAACCTCCATTGCCAATGATACTACACCACTGCACTACCTTCGTACCAACCAGCCTTGAACTACCATCGCATCACCTTTTAACCATCACCACATGTCTTTCTACAAAACCTTAAAATGTGTTATTCGTTGTCGCTTTACAAATCAACTATGGAGTCCCGTTGCATTTCCTTCAACTCCCATTTCGACATGCACCACAAGAATCGATCGAGGAACTTCTCATACTGCTACTCTAAAGAATTAAGAAAAAACAATTTACATAACATATTCTCTCATCAAGTAATTGAATGCTTATCTGATTTATAGTCTCACATTGATTTAAGATTTTCGATTGTTAATGTCTCAACAAGGAATCGATCCTTTGATCGGATGTTAGCCTTATGCCTTTTCATTAAGAGATAGTGTGTTTATAAATCACTATGTAATTTCGATGGAGACTCGGGATTCCGTTGATGCAGGATGTCAGAAACTTCCCTCTAGTTAGGTTATGGTGTCATAATATTCTAAGTTGTTAGTTTTGTAAGTGTTATGAGGAGGTAGGTTGAGATGTTGTTTTTCCTCCTAGAGTGTGTACTTTACATGCTTGTTTCTTTATTTTTCAAAAGTACAATCTTCCGAAATAATCCCAAGCGCCACCTTCACTTCATTAAATTATCTAAATAGCTTGTTAAAATTTAATACATATATTATTTATCCCTAATCATATCTCCTTAAGTTAAAAAGCATTTGATTTGACATGCGGAATTGTAAATAACACAATGAACACGATGATTTGAGTGTCTAAGAGATGTATTCAATTGTGTAAGGAGTTACAAAAAAGTATAAGTTAGATCTAGACAAATAAATAACTCACACTCACACTCTCAATGTTACATCTCTCAAGCACACTCTAATAGTGATATGCAAACCACTATTTATTGTCACACCCCCAAACCAAGGATGGCGGAAACGTCTGGGGGTGGAGGACTTCATGTACAGTATCACAACAACGTGTATAATAGTGCTCAAAGTAAAAACAACCACCATAAATATAATTGCAAAAGTTACACCAAAGTATATGTTTACATGTTTCAAAAGCAATTACATTATGATGACAAAATAAATTGTTGACGGTTTAGCGTCCCATCCTCAAAGCGATGAAGTTTTCCTGTTTCACTGATTTCCTGAGAATACAAGTAGTTTTAAAGAGTGTCAACACAAAGGTTGGTGAGTTCATAAGAGTTTTGTTTGAAGTAGAAACCGTTTTTCCTTGTAAAATCGATTTAGTTTGATTTCCAGAAAATCCAATATTTTCTTAGTTAAGTATGAATAGAAATAATCCTACATGATGCTGTAATGAACCCTAGAGTAATCCGTAGAGTTCCTCTATAATCGTCCAACATATAAAGTTATATAAGGCTTAACTTAGATAAAACGTTGAATATAGTGGGTCTGCCCTAGGTCCACAACCCAACGAGGAACAGGAGATGAGGCGGGCACCACCAATTCTAGGCCAATCAAGACTAAATTCTTATATGACTCAACATATACGCTCAGCGACTATAGTTGAAGTCTAACAATTTTAGAGGATGTGTAGTTTTAATATAATAATAGCTTTGTATAGAGACCCGGCACTTTGTATTTGTACCCCTTTTTGTATAGAGACCCGGTACTTTGTATTTGTACCCCTTTTTGTATAGAGACCCGGTACTTTGTATTTGTACCCCTTTTCGTATAGAGACCCGGTACTTTGTATTTGTACCCCTTTTCGTATAGAGACCCGGTACTTTGTATTTGTACCCCTTTTTGTATAGAGACCCGGTACTTTGTATTTGTACCCATAGAGATAAAAGGTGATTTTAAATCGACATAAAACTCATTTAGGTTTTAAAAATAAAATCCCGTAAACTTATGGATTGTTCCCTATGTGAGCCGTTATAATCATACTATGACTATGTGAACCTGCCACGACGTTCTCAGTGTCGCGAAAAATGAAATGACATTTGTCACCCGTAGACCTGCAGGTCCAACTGTAGCTAGCAGCAAGGTGTGGGGTGTCAATCCCAATATAGATCTATATACAAGTATCACGTTCTCCCTCAAGGAGATTCTGATTATAACTACCAGGAATTATATCCCGCACTCGGACGTACGGGGAGAGAGAGAGAGAGAGAAAAATAGAGAAACTCACAATATAGGATAACAAGTTTACTTGAAATGTGTGTGAATATAAATCTTTCTTGTATGAATGTACCCTTTTTGTACGAGTGCGTAGAGTGATGTATCATAAACTATACCTATTATAGTTTATCTAAAATGTATGTAATATGTATGAATCCTTTTATGGAAATGTATTAGTGTTGTGAATTTATCAAACCATAGATTAACTTACGTGAAATGTGTGCGAATAGAAATCTTTCTTATATGAATGTACACTTCTGGTACGAGTGCGTAGAGTGATGTATCATAAACTATACCTATTATAGTTTATCTAAAATGTGTATAATATGTATGAACCCTTTTATGGAAATGTATTAGTGTTATAAATATATTCAAACTATACTTTTTATAGTTAAATAATACGTGTTCCAAAATGAATGGATAATATTTAATATGAATGTCTTAGTTTCAGTTCATAATGATAAACTAACTAGGAAACACATTCAAACATTAAAACTTATGATTATACACTTTGCTCAACATAATACAAAGTGTTATGATATTTACATGTTGTTGGTAAAATTTAGCAATTCTGCCCTGTTTTGGAAAAATCATAGAAAAATCATACGAAGTCGAAAACTAGATCCGTAAATTCTGAGAGTTCACAAAATGTGTCTAGTTTGCTCATAATTTTTATCACAATTTATAATGACCTCTAACTTGGGTGAAAAAGTCCATAATCACAGACTGGTCCGGATTGTTGTTTGAAGTGATAGACAGTTTTGTAAAAATCGCCATAAATTGTAGAAAAATCGTATGGAGATGTGCAAGTAGCCATTTTAAAGCTAAAAACTTGAACTATTTGCACCTTGTACAGTTTTGAAAACAAAAATATTTAAGATGCCCAAAACAGTCCGTGAATGGAGTTGAACTTTTCTGATGAAGGCTGTTAGAGAAATTTAGTTATGTTCTTAGTGTTTTAACTTGTATTCTCCCCCTAAAAACTTGAGAAAACATGAAAACGTAGGGGTATGAACTCACCTTGAGTGA